GTGTGTGTGTGTGTGTGTGTGTGTGTGGAGTCAAGTGAACCTCAACAAGCCTCTTATGAACTTAAACCTGTTATTAGAGAATCAGACACACCCTTCTGCAGCCTGTCTGAGCTTCACGACAATCACACCGACGTTCACTAACAGCTTCTGCGCAGGTAGACGGACGGAACAGACGGAAACAACTCCCCCACACACACACACACACACACACACACACACACACACACACACTCACACACTCACACAGGAACTACGACATGTGAAGTCGAAAACCACAAACACTTGACACGTGATAAGCAGAAAACTGAATCTTTGAGTTCACGAGCAAACACGTGGATCCAGATATCAGATGCACATCATATATTATTTTAGTATTTTCACAGTGGTCTTCGAAATGTGACGACTCTTTCATTTTCTGGTGAATAACAGTTAACACGATCAGCGAAACGTCTGGACACATTTATGTTGAATTTCTGTATTATTATTCTAGCATGTGGAAAATAAGTCAGCATGAAATCATGTGTGCAACGTGCATTATGAAAGGTTTATCTGTGAACATCATTATATAACAAACACTGCAACATTACATAAAAAATAAGTCTCGTAAAAGCTGATTTCGTGGTGACTTTAAGACGAGACGCCGCAGGTGAATTATGGTAAAAACTGTGTGTGATGGACCTGTCCTCAGGTGATTAAACACTGCTTGGCATTACAGGCGTTCTCATTAAATATGCACACATTTCCAGAATATTAATCTGAACATTGCATAAAGCCAAGCTGAAAATTCTTGTCAGACTTTGTTGTCATATTAGATTCTGCATCTCTCTTTTAATCAGAAATCTGAAAATACTGCCAACAGAGAGACAACACACACATTTTCACCATGTTATAGGAGTAAAATACTGTATAAAATAAATACAGTAAAAGCCTTCAGAATAGAGAGAGGAATCTTTAAAAGAGCCTAATTGAACTCTACAGACGCAAACAGATAAAGTGCAATAAAGCAAACACTTATAAAGTGTGTTTTGGATGCTTTCTGTCCTCTAGTCCGAATGAGGACACGATACAGACGCTATTCAGACCTAAATCTGTGGCTTTGTCTAGAGTCTCGCCTTAAACACAGAAATGAGGACAAGAGGTTAACATGAAGCCAGAAATAAGCACAGGTTTGTTTTAACAAACAAACTCTCTCTCTGTGTGAGGTGTGTGTGAGATCTGGGTACGTTGTGTTAATACACACACACACACAGAGAGCGAGAGACACACTCACACACACACACACACACACACACACACACACACACACACACACAGAGAGAGAGAGAGACACACACACATACACGCTCACACACACACGCTCACACACACACACACACACACACACACACACACAGAGAGCGAGAGAGACACTCACACACACACTCACACTCTCTCTCTCCCTCACACACACTCACACACACACACTCACACACACACACTCTACACACACACTCTACACACACACTCTACACACACACTCTACACACACACTCTACACACACACTCTACACACACACTCTACACACACACTCTACACACACACTCTACACACACACTCTACACACACACTCTACACACACACTCTACACACACACTCTACACACACACTCTACACACACACTCTACACACACACTCTACACACACACTCTACACACACACTCTACACACACACTCTACACACACACTCTACACACACACTCTACACACACACTCTACACACACACTCTACACACACACTCTACACACACACTCTACACACACACTCTACACACACACTCTACACACACACTCTACACACACACTCTACACACACACTCTACACACACACTCTACACACACACTCTACACACACACTCTACACACACACTCTACACACACACTCTACACACACACTCTACACACACACTCTACACACACACTCTACACACACACTCTACACACACACTCTACACACACACTCTACACACACACTCTACACACACACTCTACACACACACTCTACACACACACTCTACACACACACTCTACACACACACTCTACACACACACTCTACACACACACTCTACACACACACTCTACACACACACTCTACACACACACTCTACACACACACTCTACACACACACTCTACACACACACTCTACACACACACTCTACACACACACTCTACACACACACTCTACACACACACTCTACACACACACTCTACACACACACTCTACACACACACTCTACACACACACTCTACACACACACTCTACACACACACTCTACACACACACTCTACACACACACTCTACACACACACTCTACACACACACTCTACACACACACTCTACACACACACTCTACACACACACTCTACACACACACTCTACACACACACTCTACACACACACTCTACACACACACTCTACACACACACTCTACACACACACTCTACACACACACTCTACACA